GGCCGTATGACTGTGTGCTCCCAGTGCTGGTACTAGAGGAGACAGACCGGTCTCTGGAGCTCCCTGCCCAGCCAGGCTAGACACACATGCATGCTGCAGGTTCCGTGAGAGACCCTGTCTCAAACAGTAAGACAAAGGGTACTAGAGGAAAACACCCAACACCGACCGAGCTTCCACATACACATACATACCTCTGTATACACATGTAAACACATGCCACACACACACAGGTAAAGCTTAAGCTTATGTAAATATTAATAAAAGTGAAAAATAACAATGTCATGGGAACAACAAAAAGTTATAGCAGCCAAGTCTTCTTAAGCTTATATGTTGCAGTATGGATTACTTCCAGAGAAAAAGAAATTTTGTGGTGTCATGGGTTGACTTACTGTTTTTACTGGAATGTTACCTTAGGTTTGTAAAGAACCTTTGCTTGTTGTCACACAATTATGAAAACAACACAAGTTAAACAGTGAAAGGTCAAACGTTGAAATCAGTGGAATGACAATGAATAACAGTAGGTTAATGCGACATTGTGGAACTGAGTGAATTCTGACCTTTGGGTTGAACCTGGTGCCGGGTGAGCATGGGTTCATTTTAGTGTGACATGCCTGTGATACCTGGTGCATGTGGTGACATCTTCTCTGCTGTTTTTCTCCATTTGATGTTACATGCATTGTTGGGTCGTGTGTCACTAGCTCCTTTCCTTATGTGTAAACCACCTTTGTTTCAGGTATTTTTGTTTTATGTGGACTTTAGAAAAAAAAACTTTCATAACCTTTCATTAGACACCAGTGCAAGGCATAGCACTGTGGTGATGTTTTGTTTGTGCTGTTACAGATAAAGCTTGCCTGAAGATCAGAGTGTGGAACTAGCCACACTAGTTAGCCTTAGAGGCCAGGCAGTGGTGGCGCACACCTTTAATCCCAGCACTGGGAGGCAGAGGCAAACAGATCTCTGTGAGTTCAAGGTCACCCTGAGATTGAATCAGTCTAAAAGAGAAATGGTTCATACTTTTTATCCCAGCACTTGGGATCACGTGCCCTTTATACCAGTTTAGGGAGGTGGAGACCAGAGTGATAGGGCTAGGCAGGGAGAGGAATATAAGGCCGAGGAGACAGGAGCTGAAGGCATTCAGTCTAAGGACTTTTAGAGACAGGGTACCCCGCTCGGTCTGAGGATTTCATACAGGAAAGAACTAATGGCCGGCTGCTCTGCTTCTCTGATCTTTCAGCTTTCACCCCTCAATATCTGGCTCCAGCTTTTTATTATTAAGACCAATTAGAATTTGTGTTCTTTATTACCATCATCTAGACTTAAATGACCCCCCCCCCCCGGTGATGTGGAATAAGAGTTTATTTTTTATTTTCAGTTATCCTAAAGCATTCAAAATTTATAAACTTAGAGGAGTATGGACCTGCAGATACACTAAAAATTATTCTTGGGTCCAGCACCTCCACACTCAACATTTCCAGGGCTTAATTGGTCAAGTGCTGAGTATACAGATGTCCCTGTGCTATCCCTGAGATCCTGTAAACTTCATTTGGGCCACACTTGCAATCTCAGAGAGTGCTATTCCTGGCGCTCCGCAAACTTTGTGTGGTATACAGTTGTGATCCCAGAATTTCAGAGGTGTAAACAGGAGTATTAGAAGTTCAAGGTTATCCTCAGCTACCAAAGAAGTTCAAGGCCAGCCTGGAGTTCATAAGACTTAGAAAAGAAATCACAGATAGTAATGGCTCATACCTTTAGTCCCTCCAGCACTTGGGGAGGCAGAGGCAGGTGGATTTCTGAGTTCAAGGCCAGCATGGTGTACAGAGCAAGTTCCAGGGCCGCCAGAACCCGGTCTCAAAAAGCCAGAGAGGGAGGGAAGAAGGGAGGAAGGAAAGGAGAGGTCTCTAAGTAGAAGGCCATAGGTGTTGCCCAGGTCCAGAGACTGGTGTTGTGCCAGGGCTCACAGTGAGGTCCTGGATGCTGAGTGGAGCAGAGCAGCAGGCTGGGGAAGAGCAGGGCAGACAGAGCGTCAGGTGTATTTGCTGACGTCAGTGCTGTCTGGAACAGCTGCATAGCTCACTGAGGGGCTGGAGGTCTGCTTACTGCCCTCCACCTGGAACCCGAAGGTCTCAAAGGCCACAGACAGAAACGTGGACCTGGGGTGCCGAGCTCTCAGCCTGCAATGCCAGGCTGAAAGGGGGTTCTCGTTTGGAATACTTTTCTGAAAACCAAACAGCTTTGTTTGTTTGTTTGTTTTTGTTTTTTTAATGTAGAAAAGCTCCTTGAAACTTTGGTTACTTTGTGTCCTGTTTGTGTTTGTGTTCTGTAAAAGCTATTTCTGAGGTTGTAGTAAGAATATCCAATATGCAGTCTTCCCTCCTAGCAACTAAAAAGAGTTTATTCCATTTTGACTTGTGTGTGCTTCGGGAGGGTGGGGAGGGGCAGTGGAGTGTAAGTCAGAAGCCAGCTGTGTTTCTCTCCTTCCATCACACGAGTTGAAGGGGTCCCACTCAGGCCATCATCAGGCTGGGCAGTAAACACCTTCACCTGCTGAGCCATCTCCGTGGCTCCTAGCAAAAATTTAAGTCTCATTACAGGATCAGTAACTTTAGACAGGTCCTTGTATGCCACACCTCTCGACTTGAAGAACGTACTCAGCTTGAGGCTGGAACTTTGTTCCCACTGAGTAGCGACCACCTCCTCCCCTGCCCTCAGCCCAACAGCCTCCTGGAGTTGGCGCATTTATTGTCCTTTCATGCGTGGAATCACGTTGGGTTTCCTTCAGATAATGACTCATTGCCCTAGGACTTCCGTCTTCAAGTTTCCTCTATATTGTCACGGGTTGCAAGGCTTCCTTCCTTTACAAGGCAAAGTAATATTCCACATATCTTTATACTCCTATTGTCCTGCCTGTCAGCCCTGCCCAGCCCACCTGGACGCTTTCCTGTCTGTTCTCTCACCTCCTGTGATTGCCCAAGAGCCTCCCATCCATTGAGAGAGCACGCTAAGAAAGGAGAGAATCGAGAGGGGCCAAGCCTGAGTAGGGACTTGCTTGGGACTCTAACCTGTAGGGCGCTAGTTCGCCCCAGCCTGTCTGCTCTTGAGAATCATTAGCATAACTGCTTACCAGCAGGTATGGGCCTCCTTATCAGTGGGTTCTGAAGGTTCCTTCATTTCACTTCCTCTGGAGAAACTCCCTTATATGGGTTGTGACAGTTACTTCTGAGTGTCAGCTTGCCATAACCTAGAATTCCCCAAGAAGAGTCTTAAGCTGAGTAACTGTCTTTACCAGGCTGGGCTGTGGGCATGTTTCTGGGGACCGTCTGGGGATTGTTAATGGCAGTGATGAATTGTAGGAAGACCCAGCCCACTAGGAGTGACAGTATTCACCAGGAGTGGGTGGAGAGGGGTGACTTTAAAACTATCACTTGGTCAGTGTTCATTTCCCTCTGCTTTCGACTGTGGGTGTGACATGAGAAGCTCTTTCAGACCCCATCTTGGCTTCTCCTCTGTGATAGACTGCTCTGGAACAGTACGCCAAGTGAACCCTTTCCCTGCGCTGTCTTGTTGTCAGGGTGCTAGTCACAGCAACGAAGAAACTAGGACGTGAGTCCTGAGCCTAGAACGTGGGTTCTAAGCCTAGAGCGTGGGTCCTGAGCCTAGAGCATGGGTCCTGAGCCTAGAACGTGGGTTCTGAGCCTAGAACATTGGTTCTGAGCCTAGAACATTGGTTCTGAGCCTAGAGCATTGGTTCTGAGCCTAGAGAATAGGTTCTGAGCCTAGAGCATGGGTCCTGAGTCTAGAGCATTGGTCCTGAGCCTAGAGCGTGAGTTCTGAGCCTAGAGCGTGGATCCTATGCCTAAAGCGTGAGTTCTGAGCCTAGAGTGTGAGTCCTATGCCTAGGGCATGGGTCATGAGCCTAGAGTGTGGGCCCTGAGCCTAGAGTGTGAGTCCTATGCCTAGGGCATGGGTCATGAACCTAGAGCGTGGGCTCTGAGCCTAGAACTTGGGTCCTGAGCCTAAAACTTGAGTCCTGAGCTCGATTCCCCTTGTCAGTTTACTTGAAACTTCCCCATTGGCCCAGGCAAAGTGTGCAGTTGCCTCATGGAATCTGCCTCCTGGAAACTCTAATCCAGACCGCACAAGAGCAGCCCATAGTGGACAGCACTGGCTTTCCAGGCAGCCTGGGCATGGAGCGTCCGAGCAGAAGATGCCATATGCTCTGTGATATTTCTAAAGCCTGTGGAGTATAAACCCAGAGAAATTCTATCCAAAATCCTAGCTGAATTTTCCTAATCAGGAACATCAGTGTCCACAGAGCCGACATTTTGGATGTGGTGAGCTAAGTGGTAATTGAGGTTTGCAAAATTCTGTGTGCTTTATTCTGGTGTTCATCCAATGGCCTGTGATCTGAAACTTAGACGCAAACTCTCTGGAGTTGCTTCTTCCTGTTTAGAGAGGCTGGCATAATATTTTGTCTTCTGGGCTCAAATAACCATGTAATTACTCGGTAATCATATAGTAATTAGCATGTTCTATACGCATTTATTACATAATTATATTCCTGGAGGATTGCATGGCAATTATACTTGCATTCAGCATATCATTTTATATACTGTATCATGAACAAGTATATAATTTGTTGCTGTTTTCTTTGGTCCTGATTTCAGTTTACCAAGCAGGAGCTGGAAACATTTTTCCAGTTGCCTTTTTTTTTTTTAACTAGTAGCTGGGCAGGTGCCCGAGTTCCCAAGCTGGATCCATAGCTCCACAAAGACGTCTAGGGACATCTAGGGACTACTGTCGGCTCTTTGCCTTTGTGCCCTAACACTTCCTCTGTGTCATAGACCAATACGTCACCAGGTTTGAGACATCTTGAATTCCAGAGTGTGTGCATACCCAGGGGAATGGAGAGACCTCAATGCAGACGTGCGTGCATGCGTGCGTGCTTGGGGACGCTCGGGAGCCCAGCACTGCGCTCACTCCTCTCTCTCTCTGCTTTGCAGTGGAGCACATTTCCAAAGGGAACAACTGCCTGGACGCAGCCAAGGCCTGCAACCTGGACGACACTTGCAAGAAGTACAGGTCTGCCTACATCACGCCGTGCACCACCAGCATGTCCAACGAAGTCTGCAACCGCCGCAAGTGCCACAAGGCCCTCAGGCAGTTCTTCGACAAGGTCCCGGCCAAGCACAGCTACGGGATGCTGTTCTGTTCCTGCAGGGACATTGCCTGCACGGAGCGGCGGCGGCAGACCATTGTCCCTGTGTGCTCCTACGAGGAGCGGGACAAGCCCAACTGCCTGAATCTGCAGGACTCCTGCAAGACAAACTACATCTGCAGGTGAGTGTGCTGCCAGCAGGTGACTGACATGGTCCCCTGCTCCAACTGCTGGGCTCCAGGTTTCTGTGCTGCTCTCAGGCTTGGTCATCTGAGCGGGATGGTGAGAGTCTGACCCTTGGCAGCTGCAAGGAAGCTTTCACAGCTGCTCGATTTCACCTGGGGACGGTTCCATCTTTAACCTCGGAATGCTTTGGAGCAGAAGGGGAAGTCCATTGTTTACATGGAGCCCTCTGAGGTGAGGGAGGCACCTGGGTGAGACAAGGTTGGAGCATGTGCCCACTCAGGCTCCCAGGGGCTGCCAAGCCTGGAAAAGGAAAAGAGCTTGCTGAGGCTAGAGGTTCTTGCTCTTCAGGTGCCTGGAAGAGACCAGACAGTAGAGTTGGCTGTGTCCAGCCTTTAGTGTGGGGGGGGGAAGGGGAGGTAGAAAACGTGCATTTATTGGTTTGCATTTCACATTTGAAGGAGTCCAAGACCGTGTCCTCCATGGGGAGAAAGGGATATGGGGTGTAGGGTAGGGGCTTGGGGGTGCGGTGAGGCAGTGGGATGAGGGTTACACTAGTAGCTCCTTTTCACCCCAACCCCCAGCCCTGTTGACAATTGGATGTATGTCCTTCCAGAACTTAGAGCCAGAAACCAGTAGAAACCAGCGAGCAGAAAATAGCTCTGCCCACTGAGGCTTGCCTCGTGTCTTTCCAAAGAGCAAATCATATCCTGAGCTGCAGGCTTCGGCACGGTGTCCTATCTGTGGCACCTGCACCCTGTCCTTGGGGTTGGGTGCAAGGGACTCAGCCTCTGTAAATCCCTTGTACTTGGTGGGTGGGCAGATGCGTGAAACTGTTCTATAATAATAGATTCTCTGTTTTCACAGTCTGGAGATCAAGAGAAAACAGAGAGCCTGATGTGTTAGTTCTAATTAGCTGCTGTTAGTCTCATTCTGGTGGAAGGGACTCATTCTTTCTTTAAATGAGCTCTAATAGTGACCAAAGGAAAGGGAAACCCCTCGTGTGTATAACTGTCTTGTGCTGAAGATATTCTCTGTTCCTCCCTTTCTTTCCATGTGTGGGTGTGCATCTGCAGGTGTGTACAGACACACATCTAGATATCTGCACCAATCCTGTAGGTCAGCTTTAGATGTTGTGGCTCAGGACCCTGTCCATTTTGTTTCTTGAAACAGGGATTTCACTTTACCAGGAGCTCTCAGATTCAGTGGGGCTGGTGGGCCACTGAGACCCTGGGATCTGTTTATCCCTGCCCCGCCCCCACCTGTGAGGCTGTGGGCCACTGGGGCCCTGGGATCTGTCTGTCCCTGCTCCCCCCAGCTCTGGAATTACAAGTGCACACCATCAGACTTGTCTTTGTCACATGGGTTCTGGGGACTCACACTCAAGTCCTCTTACTCACAGGGCCAGCACCCCGACTGAGATCTCTCCCAAGCCCTTTTGTTAAAGGTTTTTGGAGAATAATGGCCATACAGGTGTGTGTGTGTGTGTGTGTGTACTGTTGTCTGTTTGCTTTGTTGGAAGACCTGATCTGCTGTTCCTGGAGGGGCTTGGATGTAGCATTCCAGGAGCAGCTGATGTGTGGAGAGGAGCCACTCCGCTTTCCAGCTGCCGGCTCGGCAGGGTCGTCTTGGGGGAGATGGATGCACTGGTGTCCTAAGCACGGGGTAGGAACCTGGAAAGCGAATGCAGCTGGACACATGACAGACGGTGATGGACTCCAGGCCTCACATGCAAGGACGGGAAGGCTCAGGAACTCTAAAGCACCCTTTTACCATGGAACAGAAGGGATTCCCCTTCCTGTGAACAGGACTTCTACCGTCTTGACTTAGGGTCCGACAGTTCATCCCTAAGATGTCATCCGACCCACTACTGAGTCGAGGAAGGAGCCTAGGCTCTGAGTCCTCCTGGGGAAGGGCTGTACAGGGCAGAAGTGGAGGGGTAGATCAGCTTCTTCCATTGAGTAGTGGCTGGCCTAGGAGGTGAATCCTTCTCTTTTAAAGATTTACAGTACATATGACTTCCAGGTGACACACTCACATGGTTCTAAAGCCTCCCATGAGTGTTGAATTTCACCTACACACACCGCCCTGCTCTGCTAAAGACGTAATCCTCAGAGTGGTCTAAATATGTTACATTGCACCGGACTCCTGTTCAGCTAGGGAGGGGCACTGGGAACTCGAAGACTTGGAGGCCCCTGGGGAAGTGGCTGGAGGAACAAGCCGAGGAAACCGAGAGGCCCTCCCATGGTTCAGCTGGTGGGGTGGAAATGGAGATGGACAGGAGGCTAAGGCAGTTCTCGCCTGCCCGACCTTGAGTGCCCCTCCCTGCCAAGGCCAGAGCGGCACAGATGGAAGCCACAACACCGCAGCGGGGTGGAAACCCTGTGAGTGCAGTACTGGCACGGCTGTCGCTGCTGCTCTGGGTAGAACTGAGTCTTGAGAGTCAGAGCTGGGCTTACCAGGGAGCCCCACCAAGGAAAGTTTATCTCACCTTGACCGATGGGTTTTACACCCTGAGTCTCTCCTGGAAGGCGATCTCTCTGGCGCGTGCTTTCTTTCCAGAGCCTGGTCTTACTGCTCACAGCTACCCACTCCCTGCCCAATGGGGGTAAATGTAATTTGAGCTGCAAACTGGCTAGTGGTGTTTTCTTTCAGTAGATTTTATTAGTCTTGCCTTTAATTTTAGGTCATTTATTTAATCCCTTCTCAATCGAGTTTAAGCAGGCCTCTGTGTACCTACCCAGGGCAGCAGCTGGTAGTGTTGGAGCCTGGAGTTCTGTGGGCTCCCTGCAGTACTCACCCACCTCCCTCTAAACCGACTGAAGGGCTTGTGTAAACATTCCCGACTGGGAGGGGTGGCAGGAGGAGACACCATGCGTTAACTACCCCTCACCCCATCTTCAGAAGCTCCAAAGAGCCATTCCTGGCTTAACATCCTTGCCTATCAAAGAACTGCTCAGACTGATTAAAACCTCCCTGAAAGTAATGTTTTCCTACCTCAGCCTTCAGGTTTCCTTCCGGAGAGTCCCAGGGTGCCTCTGCCTAAAACCTGCTCTCTCTGCCTTGAGCCTTCAGACAGATACAAAGCAGCTGGAGGTTTACTCTGCCTTTGTTTTTCTCTCTCTCCTTTCTTCTTTAGTGAAGCTGACAGGCTCCTTTCCTCTTGGGGTGGCTGGGGAAGGAGTGAGTTTGACTGCTCGGGCCTCCAAGCTTCTCGGGAGCGGAGCACGTACCAAGGTGGTGTTAGATGTCTGTGATGAAATCTGAAAGCTCTTGCTCCTCCCCTGGAGCACCACAGCTCACAGGCCAGCTTCCTTCTGGTTGCTTTCCTCACTGCCTGGAAGGCTGACAGTACCTAGTGCGGCCTAAAGGAAACACGTCGTTCATTCCTGATGCAAATTGTATTATATGCATTATTTAAATTTTTACTCTGCCTGCTCCCTCCCTTCCTCCCAAATTCCAACATTCAGAGCTAAGTTCTGCACTTGAGTTCTGACTCCAGATCCCAGAGATTTGCTTTGATTGCTCTTAGCTCTAATGAGCCGCTCAGGCACTTGGCTACTCTCATTGCCAAGAGAATCTTCTCTTGAGCTGTCTGCTCTGAAGAATTACAGAGGTAGGGCCATTCTTACTCTTCCCGTGCCAACCAGAGAGGTGGCCCGAGGCTGCTAAACAGGCCACCTGTCTTGTGGCTTTCACTCCTACTGCATGCTGTCCTTGTCTAGAGGCTGGGGTTCAAATGATTGCTTCGTGTATGCAGCAGAGACACTGCAACCTAGCATACAGAGTATGCACTAAGGTATCGTGCCTCAGAGGACTGGGTTCTGGGTTCCTCGGCCAGAACCAGCTGCTCACACCAGACAGTATCCAGGTTCCTCTTTGGCAGAATGCCTCAGAGGGAATGAAGTGTTTCTCTGCATTGAGTAATGCTGGGTTATGGTTGTCTACTTCTTCTAGACTATTGGCTAAGTGTGGTGGGGCCTAGCTTTAATCCCAGCCGCTGGGAGGCAGACACAGACAGAGTTTGAGTCCAACCTGGTCTATATAGCAAGTTTCAGGTAAGCAAAAAGTGAGACCCTATCTCAAAAAAAAATCATTTAGGACTAGAGAAATGACCCAGCTATTAAGAATACTTGATGGTGTTTCAGAAGACCTAGGTTCAATCAGTTCTCAGCACGCTCATAGGACTCACAACCACCCATAACTGTGGATACATGGAATATGACCCCATTTCAGATCTCCTTGGGTACCAGGAAGCGTGCAGTGCTCATAAATACGTCCAAGCAAAACATGCAGACACATAAAAATAAAATAAATAAATCTAAAGATTTTTTTAAAGGAGGGAGTAAGGGGCTTCGGGACCTCTGTTTCTGAACCTCTCCTGACCTCCTGGAGATATTCCTCCCCTTCCTCTTCCAGGCTCCCAGCTGTAGGTACTCAGAGTCTTCAAAACAGTAGCTTGATTAGGTCACCAGGTATATGGTTCTTCTGTCCCCTGTGGACTCAGAATCCTGTTATTACATCTTAGAAACCAGGAATTGGTCAGTGAACCGAGAAGGCACCCATCCCTTGGTACAGCTTTAGAAGAACAGTGTATGCAATCTCTGAGCTCCTGCCCTAGTTAATACCTCATTTGCCACACTCGGAGTGACCCTCTTACGTGTAAAGAAAGTGTAGTATTGTTAATTTGTCAGCTGGGACAACTGGAGAAACATGCCACAGAATGATGGGGGTAGTTTCCATCCCCTGTGGCTTATTTAGTCCCACGGTGATTGGGCACCTTTAAAGGGTGAGAGTTGTGTTTCATCTACCTGGAATAAGACCCTTTCTATACGGTAAATGTGGGTCCAAGTGATGAAGACTCTCTCTCCTTCTGACGGAAGCTCCTGTGTTAACTGAGTGCTACGTCACTAGGCCTGAGTGTGTTTTGATGTGTGGTGAGTTCGAGAGAAAATGACTGACAGCATAATTAATGCCTAAAACTAGATTAATTTGACAG